CTATGCCTCCTCTCCCGTGACCTCTTTTCTGTTGGTACATATAATTTTAAATCATGATTACAAAAGGAGATCTTGGATTCAAGCCCAACTATTGGCTCTACGATTATCCTTGCTTTAAGCCCTTTGTGTGTGCATGTATATGATTCAAGCGAGGATAAAATGGCAGCAATGCCACTAGAAATGAATGTGGGTGTATGGAAAGCAGGAGAGACTTTGAAGTAGAGCGTGGGTGGTAGGGGTGGATTAACGAGTTGCTCAGCTCGTTAAGCTCGTGCTCGTTAAGCTCGTGCTCGTTAAGGCTCGGCTCGTTAAGCTCGTTAATATTAGTGAGCAAAAAATCCCTGCTTGGCTCGGTTCTTTGAAGCTGGTTAAGCTCGTGAGCGCTCGTTAACAGATTTTGATGTGCTGCAGTCTACATGATGAGTGTGTCGATGTGATTTTTAAAAGGAAGACGATGACTACACAAGAAAATGCACTTGTTTGTTGCCTCCTATGTAGATTAGATTGAATAGATAGGCTGAGGTGCTACGAAAATTATGTCACATAAGATGAAAATATGTGTTGTGTTGTTACTAACAATCTTAACGAGCTACTCGTGAAACTCATTAGCTCGTTCATTAAGCTCATTAAGCTTAACGAGCTGAAAGTCGTCGATTAGCTATGTTCATTAAGAAGAGGGCCATGGGTATAACGAGCCGAACTATCGAGCCCTCATTAAGCTCACGAGCTACGGTCCAGCCCTAGTGGGTGGAACGGAGGGATAGGATCTATGCTTGTTTGTGATCAAAGAGAAGAGAAGATTCTGAAGGTCCCATTATAAATTCCGCGGGATACATTATAGATTATTATTTTTTGGAAAAATGAGCAAGCCCCGGCCTATACATCGAGCAATGACCTGGATCTCGTTTCGGTTATATGCAAAACATGGAGTCCAGGATGAGTGCTGATTCAGGTAAGACAACAAACTCTTGACTGTGCCACCTGGACAAAGTTGCTGCCGGTATTCCCCGCAAAAGAAAAAGAAATGTTGATGCTGGTTTGGGCACATAAATTTCGGAGCAACAAATGCCGCCACCTGGACAAAGTTATTCCGGGATCATTTGAGGTTCGCGCAAATCCGCAGGCTGGATGTACACTACACGCGACAAAAACCTGCAAGTGCATGGTGATGATCTGTACGTGCGTGCGTTTGTGCGTTCTTGCCGGACGTCACCCAAGGTATAGCTGCAGCGTGAGTGAACAAACTGCGCGGTGCAGCCAGCTGGAGAGGTGGAGGACAGCTGGAGATGGAGTCTCGAGCCCCGTTTTAGAGCAACAAAACGAGGGCATATGCAGGCAGGGTCGTTCATGGCCCGTAGGCTGTGCCTTCTTGCACGGAATGTTGCGTGCTGTCTTGCCCTTGTCAGTTTCAGTCCCGACTCGTTGAAACCCCCGAGTGGGCAGTCGATCCGAGCTGGCTTTCCTTCTTCTTCTTCTTCTTCCCATTTTTGTTGGCGATGCGTG